GGATGGATGGATGGATGGATGGATGGATGGATGGATGGATGGATGGATGGATGGATGGATGGATGGATGGATGGATGGATGGATATAAAATGCTTTTACAAAAGCAACAGAGGGAGGCAGCGATGTTTCGCCAATTGGGCGAAAAATCTCACCTCCCCTGTGAGAATCGCCCTTGACTTGCAGAACCATAAAGAATTTCCCCCGGCAATGGGCAACCCTCAAAAGCTGACCTAAAATCAACTCAGTTGAATTCCATAAAAGTTTAAAAAGACAGTCCACCGGATTTTGTTTCTAAGGTTTGAAGACGTTTCGCTTCCCCTCGAGGAAGTTTTCTCAATTCAAAATGTCATTGACAGACAGTGGATTGTTTTCTAAACTTTTAACGAATGACTATGACTTGGATGACTGAGAATCTTCACCAGCATACAACTCAGTTGAAGAAGACCTCAGGTCTTGCTTGAAAAGTTCATTTTAGACAACAGGATGTGAAGTTTTCTATTGTTTTCTTTTTGCTTTCAAGTCCAGTTGCCTGAATTGAAGTTATCAAGCTTGACCATGACCTTAATGACTGAGAATCTTCACAGATACCTCAGGTTTTCTTTAGGAGCTGAACGCAAGGCAAACAGGACCCAAGGCAGGGGTTTCTGTCAAGTGCCTTGAGTTAACATGTTTGTGAATTTGCACTATATAAATAAACTGATATTGAATTGAAATTTATCTGAGCTGATACTGAATTCAAGTTGATTGAGCCTTTGGTTATTGGTGATATTTTTCACAAAGGCCACTGGTCGGCAGGTGGCATCACAGTGCAGCTTAACTCCAAGGCTCTGAAAACGGCAGTCCACAACTCAGAAGTAAACTGGGGCCCTTACCAGAAGCACACCAAAACACAACGCCCAGGAGAAGATAAACACCCAAGAAGCATCAACCGAGGTGGGAGATCACAGGGAAGCCCCTTCAGCCACTGTGTATTCCTGTCCACTATTATCAAAAGATAGATTAACCCTCTGGATGGGGAAAAACGGACTCCCCAAGTCCACATGAACTTGCGTGAGCTTTCCCTGCGGAATAGTATGCTTCCCAAACAGAGCCGTACCCCAGGGTTCTACCGAACGCGTTAACACCACAGAGCGTCCGAGGATCTTCCGCGGATCGTCCATGGCACCCTATTCCACCGGGAGCATTTTAGCCTGTTTGACAATATATCATATCATAGTTTAGCTGGGGACATGTCTAATGTTGTGTTTATTACAAATTTTGGTCCCAAGATGAGGTCAGGGTACTAACATATACTCGAATAAAGAGAAAACATAATTGATTGTGAAAAAATAACACATCAGCATTGGATTCGGATCATATCGGCACATGGGCCACTGTAGAACTGGTCCTGGCCCCTGTTATGTTCCTGGACTGAGAATAAACACGGAAAAATTTTACGTATAAGCAGGCAATTTTTTTTTGGGTCAGATCAATTAAAAATGTCTGGAATAGTGTGGAGTTCCAGGTTTTATGTGTAGGTATTATAAACAGTGATGGGAGTAACGGCGTTGAAAGTAACGGCGTTACTAACGGCGCTACCTTTTTTAGTAACGAGTAATCAAAATTATTATTCTTACTGTAACTAAAATGCAGTTACAATTGTCGACACCCCGTTACTGCACGTTACTCAGGTCGCACAATTAACCTTTTTTCATGATAGGACTCGTGCGCGCGTCACGAGAGAGGGGAGGTTGGAGAGTGAGGAGGACTCCAGCGGCAAAACAGCGTTTTCCAGATGGAAATACTGGTGTTACTTCGAGCTGCGTTTCCCCATCAGATACGGTTTCCACTGCATCTCCGCACAGCGCAGGCGGGACGATTCACCGCGCAAGCGACAGGAAACGCGCATGCTCGCTAAAGGCGCGCAACAGCCGCCCTGTGCTCGCGCCACAGGGGAACTACGGAGAGCGTGAACGATCATTAGCCTATATGGAGAAAGGGATGGATGGATGGAATAGATAGATAGATATAGCTACATGTTGCAGTATCTATAACAACCCAAACACAGGATTTCAGAATTAGACATCCCCAGTTATTGATTTCATACACTCGCAAAAGTAACGCAATAGTTACTTTTACTACTAACTAGTTACTTTTATTGTGGAGTAACTCAGTTACTAACTCAGTTACTTTTTGGGAGAAGTAACTAGTAACTATAACTAATTACTTTTTCAAAGTAACGTGCCCAACACTGATTATAAAACCACGAACTCAACTCTGTTCCTGACATTTTGAATTAAAGAAAGCTTCCTGGATGGGAAGTAAAACGTTTTCAAACTTTAGAAACAAAGTCCAGTAGATTGTTTTTAATTTTCTTTTTTTGGAATGTTTAGCTGAATTATATTTCAAATGCACCATCTTAGTGAATGGGTGTCCCAAAAATGCAGAGGAAAAATTTACCAACTGAAACAATCATTCTTCAAATGAACCCTTCCCTTCAACTGTATAAATATGCATAATCACAGATGGAGATTATAACAAAGGATAGATTAAAGAATTACACCCATTATGTGGATAGATTATAAGTGTCCATTAATAACACTAGGTGTCATCATTTGTTTTTTCTTCCTTAACCTGTTATGCTGTGAAGTGTGTTTATTATCATTTTTTTATACTAATTTTAAAAAGAGGTATGTGGACAAAGTTTGGGTTATAGAGCTTCAGGGAGAATCGTCCTCTTTAAGGCTTTTATTCTGAAGGCTGTAACAGGAAGAAGCTTTTATTATAGCAGCAAGGAGAGCAGGTTCAAATATCAGGATAAAAATAATCGTAGTGACATGCTGCTCGGTGTGCTGATATTATGTGTCTTTAGCTTCGTCATGCCTGAAGACAAACTGGTTTCAGTTGACTTTGAGATTTTTGGGAATGTGCAGGGTGAGTCACATGACCTGAAATGTCTGAGTTCTTGCAGTTTGGAGAATGATTTCATGAAAGTGACTCTGAGTTTGTTCTGCCTGTTCAGGTGTTTGCTTCAGGATGGTGAGTTTCATCTATTCCATCAACACCACAATGACGATGATTGTTTTTTACTCAATTTTATTTTTAAACAGCTGGAATTGGGGTAAAAATCTAAAAAGATCTGAAGTGTTGCATTGGGAAAAAAAAGCAAAATCAGGAAATTTTATTCAATCTCTTTCAAATGTGAGAGCAGAACAGAACCAATAAAAATCTTACAAACTTTCAAGGATGGGATGACCGAAGATGAGAGTGAGTTAGATAAACATCATGTCCGGGTGGCAACTAGTCAGAGGAAGATTGGATCCATCCAACCTGTCAGCAACATTCCTTTGAACCTTCACAAAAAGAGATAAAAGCTTCACACTTGGACTTAGTAATGATTATTAGATACAATTATTTTCAGACTTTTTCCATCTCTAACTTATTTAAAGTAGGCTATAGATTCAGGAGAAGCTAAAGCCAGAGAATGTCCTGTATAGAGTGAATTTTAGTCCATTATTGTTGCAAATAAAGAACACATTTTGTATATGGAAATGGAAATGTGGAAAAAAAAGAAAATGGAATTAAAGTTTAAGAATTTTGGGGCTTTTTTATCAAGCAATTTTTCTTATATTTTCCAATTGAATGAAAGAATAATGAAAATGACCATGAGTGACATAAAAGAGCAGGATATAGGACCTTTAACCATACTAACACCTAAAGGGCTGGAGTGCAAAAGTCACTCTCTTATTCTGTTAAATGTAATGTGATTAAAACCGAATACTTCTGTGATTTGAAATAAAATTGGGATCATATTGCAAAGCTAATCAGTCGCCCCACCCGAGTTCAGAGATTATGGAGGAGCAGGTGGATTTATTTATCTGCCTTATTAGCTCATTGAATAATAATATTGACAGTGATCAGGTTTCCTGCAAGTGAGTCATGGCCCACTCAGCTCCTGACATAATGAAAACAGTATTGTAAAATGGATAAAGACCAATTCCCTTCTTTTTCTGGCTCTCAGTACACTGAGGATCAGGGTCGCAGTTTGGGACTCAGTGGTTGGGTGAAGAACACCAGACAGGGGACAGTGATTGGCCAGATCCAGGGACCGGCTGATAGAATCAACGACATGTGAGTCCAGACATCCTGACAGAGAAAGAACTCTTAGCTTCACAGAAAACAATCAGGTGACAGTTACAGTTTAAATATATCTAATTTTATTTCTGATTATAACCAAGCAATACAAAATCTTTAATTGCTTTAACAAAGATGCTTACTGTTATGAGATGTGTGAGAGTTCAGGAGAGGTGTGATCTGTCGGGTATCATTAGTATTGCATTTGTATCGGGGCCCCGATACTGGTATCCATATTGGTGCAACACTAGTATCAATGGCCCAACCCGAACGTCCCCACAAATTCCTAACCCCTCAATTACTATAGAGTAGGTGTTTTAGTATCCGTCAGCAGTCTTGGGATTCAATTGCATTGGGATTCAGACTTTTATCAGAGTTCTAGTTTCTCAGACAAA